ACACCCACGTCATGTGTGTGTGTGCATGTGGGCATGTGCACACGAGTGGAGGCTATGTATGTGTGTGCACGTGGGCGTGTGCACATGAGTGGAGGCTATGTATGTGTGTGCATGTGGGTGTGTACACATGAGTGGAGACTATGTATGTGTGTGCATGTGGGCGTGTGCACAGGAATACAGACTATGTATGTGTGGGCATGTGGGCATGTGCATGAGTGGAGGCTATGTATGTGTGGGCATGTGCACATGAGTGGAGGCTATGTATGTGTGGGCATGTGCTTATAAGTGGAGGCTATGTATGTGTGGGCGTGTGCACGAGTGGAGGCTATGTATGTGTGGGTGTGTGCACATGAGTGGAGACTATTATGTGTGTGCATTTGCACATGAGTGGAGACTATGTAGGTGTGTACACGTGGGCATGTACACAGGAGTAGAGACTATGTATGTGTGTGCATGTGGGCGTGTGCACAGGAGTAGAGGCTGTGTGTGTGTGCATGTGGGCACGTACACATGAGTGGAGATGCTCTTGGAGGGCAGAGGCATCAGATCCCTTAGAGCTAGAGAGACAGATGGCTGTGAGCCTCCTGACAAGGGTGCTGGGAACTGAACTCTGCTTCTGGATGAGCAGCAAGGACTCGGAACCACTGCTACACATTTCCAGCCCCCATTTCAGCATTCGCAAGGAGTCTCTCAGCCCTTGGACTCTCCAAACAATGACCCTTCCCACTTTGGGTAATGTGGAAGTGCCCTGTGCTTCCCTCAGGCAGCTCTTGGCCTCTACTGCTGTCCCCTGTCACACTGTCTCGCATTGCTGCTCACCTACGGACCAGTCAAGGCTCAAGCCTCGAGTTCTGAGCTCAGACTTATGAACCTGCTTATGACTGGGTCTTTGATCCATCCCACCTATGACAACGTTCGAAGCTCTGTTTGTTCCGAGTAGCGGGAACGAATAAGGAAGGAGACAGCACCTGGAGGCAGCTTGTATTTCTCCTTCCCCGTGGATCTTTATTCCAGAAGCAAACGTGGAACAAAAGAGCACAACTGGCTGATCTAGAAGAGCTGAGTTTATTTCTTTATTATAATAATTAAAAAGGAAAGGCTTTATAAATTCAATAAATAGAATAAATAATGTTCATCATCACTCTTGTTTCCGCCTTAGCACCCCTGCCTTCTGGAACGTCGCCTGGAGACTCTTCAAAAATGACAGCGTGTTGCCTGATGTGGTCTGGTTGCATGGATTTTCACAGGAGAAAAACTGCAGAGATGGACAAGGGCAAGATAGAGTGAGCAACTGCAGTGTACACCTAGCAACCGTAGGACCATCGTCTCCAAGCAACTGCAGTGTACCCCAAGCCTTGGGGACAGGCTGATGGGCAGGAGAGAGAGGAGTGAGACGCAGGGAAAATAGAAAGGTGATCCTGGACAGACTATGTAGGGGGTTAATCTGGGGTCAGGATTCCAGGAGTCTGTATGCATCTCTCTCTCTCTCTCTCTCTCTCTCTCTCTCTCTCTCTCTCTCACACACACACACACACACACACACACACACACACGTGGCCTTAAATGTGATTAGGGAAAAAAAAATCTTTTCTCGGGATTCTTTAAGGACTAATATCTTTATACTTTTTATCTCCTTCCCCAACATCCTTCCAAGACCACTTTATTACACAGTAGTTCTGAGTGAGACTTTGGGTTCACAGAGACCAGAGTTTAAGTCCCAACTTAGTCTCTTATTAAATACAATCTCTTCAGAAAAATAACTTTCCTGGGTATTACTGTCCTCCTTTAGCAGGGGTGACAGAGTTAAAGCTGGTCTCTAAGGCAGATGCTCAGCCTGACAGAGCAGGTGGCGCAGCCAGGACAGCTGCCACGGTGGGCATGGATATTTGACCAGCCAGGCCAACCACAGCACTTCATACTGCTGGTGCTACGCTCCTATGAACACCAAGGCCCAGGGAGAAAGGACGGTGGCCCGGTGGCCCGTGTTGATAGGCTGCGGGGGAGGTGTCAAGTGCCTACCTAGACCTTGGTGTCTTTTTACAAACCCTTTGGGCCATCAACAAGCTAACAGAAACGCTGACTTAGAGGTTGCTGCATCCTAGGTTAGTCCATGGAGTCTTGGCCCAGTGCTGTGTGGGCCATAGTCTGACTCTCTGGAGTGCAGCTTTTGGTTACAGCAGGGTGAATTCCAGGGCCGCTGACTCTAACTACCGGCCTTTCTCATTGGCTCAGAGATGAGCAGACAGCTTTACTCTGCTGCAGCTCTGACCCCAAGGCTCCACTCCTTTGATGCCAGCATTCACTCTGAAACCAGTTGTCACACGCAAACACAGAACTCACCGGACACTTGTTGCTCTTTAGGCTTTCAACTGTCCTTTTCACCCTAATAAAAACAGTCGAGTGAACCGTTCTCTGTGTGGCATTGGTCACCTGTGACAGTCCCTCCAGGAAGCACGGTGTGGTACAATCATCCTGGTAAACGAGAAGGACTTGTGAAAAGGGCTCATGAGAACTCTCTGGGACACCCTTGAGAAGGAATCGCCAAGAGAACTTTTAAAGAGCAACTTAATTTAACCAGGGTCACCCAGACTTGTGCTATTTTTGCATCTGTTCCTCGACACTCTAGGAAATGGTGTTAAATAGTTTAAGGTGAGCCGTTTTCGCAGCGACACTCAGAAGGAGATTCTGTCCAGGAAACGTGGGCCTGCTGCCCGACAAAGGCAGCCCGGCATGCCCTGTCCATGTCCGGTGGTTGCACGTTTGAAAGGACAGAAAAGGAAAAGCCTTTCTCACATCAGCTGAGACAGGCCATTGGATACGGCTTGTGTTTCAGACAAGCTAAAATCCTGCCCTGAGAAGCAAGAGGATAGGCGGACTCTTCCCTAACCACATCAGCTTCTCCCAGGTCCTGCTTGCAGGCTGAGCCCTGCAGTGGCTGCAGGTCTGGCTGACTGTGCTCTCATTCTAACCGAGAGCTAGAGAGGGACCCGAGCCTCCCTGCTCCATCCTCGCTGTCACAGTGCTAGCTGCTCTCTTGGGGTCCATTCAATCCCCAGCACCAAACTTGGATACTGTCCTCCCAGAGAATGGTTGGAGCCATTTGTCAGTCATGAAAACCAGCAGGAAGATGGAGGAAGAGGAAGAGGTAAGGGTAGGGAGGAGAAGGAGAAGGAGAAGGGAGAGGTGTGTGTGATGTCTGGACAGTCAATGCCTGATGCTGCTCTTTTGTTCCACAAACCTGGAGCCATCAGCAGACGAATCAGAGCGCAATAGCCATTGTTTCCACATTGTACATGGCCATTTATCCCAAAAGATAGTCAATAATTTTTAGACTCTGAAAAAATATTCAAATGTCTCAAGGGCCATGGTGCTAACTTAAACATATATATATGTATAATATTATATATATATTTATATACACACAGAGAGACAGACAGATAAAGTTTTAAAGATCTATACTATAACAGTTACATTTAGGTAAAAATTTAAAATTTAGAATGTCAAGTAAATTGTGTTATTTTTCTTCAAGGCTTGAACAGCGACCCAGTGCTCTTTTTTAGCTGTACTTACGGATGGGATGGGAAGACACAAGCAGCTGGTCACCTGCAAGAGAGAAATTACAGCATGGGCACTCCAACTGTGAACTTTAAGACAGATGTGGAAGTCTTTGGATTCACCTTCTTATTTAGCTTCTCTAGGAACATGAATTATAAGCTCAATGTCCTTTATTTATGGCTAGAAACCAAATATGAGTGAGTACATCCCATGTTCCTCTTTTTGGGTCTGGCTTACCTCACTCAGGATAGTGTTTTCTATTTCCATCCATTTGTATGCAAAATTCAAGAAGTCCTTGTTTTTTACTGCTGAGTGGGCTTCCCACAGGTCAGGGAACCCTGATTGCTCTTCGAGCAGATGAGGGAGGGGGACTTGATCGGGGGAGGGGGAGGGAAATGGGAAGCGGTTGCGGGGAGGAGGCAGAAATCCTTAATAAATAAATAAATTAATTAAAAAAAAGAAGCTTTAAAAAAAAGAAATCAGTCACTCACATTGGTGTTGCAGCTACATTTTGAGGCAGGGTCATCCTGCAGCAGGCAAAAAGAAGATAACCAGAGTGAGTCGAGAGCCCTCCTCGCCCTCCAGGGATGGCACACACAGTGGCCAGCTCTCCCCAGCCCCAGAAATCTACCTTCAGCTTCTGGATAAGTGAGTCGGTGTCTTTGATCCCAGCCATGGTACTGCATTTCCAGTGCAGCGCAGAGCCCACAGCACTGAAGAGCAGGGCAGAGGCAAGGATGGAGGCCATGAACATCTTGGCAGGAGTCTGGAGCTCAACCTACTGGCACCTTCCAGGCTAGCTGTATTTAAAGCTCTTCAAACAGGGAAAAACCCTGACATCAAACTGATACCCAGTGCCCACTTTTTCTCTGTAAGTTGAGGCCAATTGATATTGAAAACCAATCAGTCTGAGTCACTTGACAAAGGCTGCCTTGTGCCAGGAAATACTGTTCCTCAGAAAGGATGCTTTTCAAATAGTTGGGTTCTGAAACGCTGAAGGAAAAGTTAAAGATCTGCCCCCACCCCCTTGAAAGGCAGGAATTCTGGTTGTGAGAATCAGGGCGCTTTCCATGAAAGCCCCGATCTGTGTTTCCCCCTTCTCATCAGTGGAAATGCTGACAGACACTCACACTATTTTAATGAAGGGGTCACGCTGGGGATATCAGGGGAAAGCAGGGCACCCCTCTCACTTATTGGGGTTTTCCTCTGACCATTGTAGCCTCAGTTTACTATGCTTGACTGCTAGACGCTCAGAACCTCTCAGGCCTCTGCAAGTGGCGCGTGTGAGGAGCTGCTCCCTGTAAGCACAGGAATGCTGGAACTGTTCTTACTAACCTTAGCCTCGAGGGTTCCTGGACTCTACAGACCCTGTGCAGCACTGGGTAGCATCAGGTTCAAAATACAAACCAAGGCCCTTTTGGCTCGTCGGCCATCAGTGAGGCAACATGGGTCACCAGCAGCTCTACTGGAGTCACCGGTGGAAGTTCGGCCTGGGATCCTGCTCCTGCCGCGTCTGCTCAAACCGCAGCGGTCTGATCCAGAAATACGGGCTGAACATGGGCCGCCAGTGTTTCCGGCAGTACGCGAAGGACGTCGGCTTCATTAAATTGGACTAAGTGACCTTGAATGGATTCTTCAAGACTCTACCCAGTGGAAAAGATGAATGCCAGTCTCTGTACATAAGAATAAAACAAAGTGAAGACCTTCAAAAAAGAAAAAAATACAAACCAAGACAGTACTAAAACAGGGCCCTACCTCGTACCTAGAGTACTTACAACCTATCGGTCTCCATCCTAGGTACTTTATGGTAAATTAAGCCATCAGGTGAGATGGGTATTAACTTGTCATCCTCATTTCTACCTCTTAAGCCACTGTATACATCTTAGCTGCCAGGTTTCCTAGTGCGGCTTTGTCCATCAACCTCTGACACGGTTGTGCTCATCACCGTGACTGGAGAGCAGACTCTCTGTGGTCCACTGGTATAAATACTACAGTTATCCTCAGTATTTTACACACGGGGAAACCGAGGCACAGAGAAGCAAGTTATTTCCCCAAAGTCACACAACTAGGAATATGGAGAAAGTCCTAAGTACAGGTATTTTGGGGGGTGCAACCAGCTCTTCATCTCCCTGTTAACCAAGGCAACCAGCTTTTCGTCTCTTTGTCACTTGCCTATATTTGGAGGCTTTTTATAAAAATACTTATTTATTTTGATTTTATATATGTAAATGTTTTGTGTTCATGTATAAGTTCACCACATGTGTGCAGTTCTCATGGAGGTCAAAGAGAGCATTGGCTCTCCTGGAATCAGAGTTATAGATGGTTGTGAGCTGCCATGTGGGTGCTGGGCATCAAACCTAGGTCCTCTGCAGGAGCAGCCAGTGTTCTTAACCTGTGAGTCATCTCTCCAGCCCCACCTTAGGAGCCTTTGGGTTCCTCGCTTCAGTGAACTCTAACTTCCTACTGATAGGCTGTATTATTCTTGGACTCCCTCCCTCCGTCTGACTGTGTCTTCGTACTTACTACCTAACGTCTTTCAATCTCTCTTTTCCTCTCCCTCTCCTATATCCTAGGAATTATTCCACTTTCATCTACTGTGAGAACAGTAGTTTTGCTTTCCACGTTAGAAAGGACATGGCTTGTGGCTTATTTCACCATAATGTCTTCCAGGTACGTCCATCCTGCCACAGATGACGGGCTTTCAGTTTTATGGTAGAACCACGCTCCATTGCACGTGCACACATGACGTACTTTCTTCTTCTGTCCGTCATAGACTTGTAAGTTGATCCTGCATTTGAACTGGCATCATAGTGGCACACTCTGAGTGATGTCACAGTGCCACACTCTGGTGTCACAGTGCCACACTCTGAGTGATGTCACAGTGCCACACTCTGGTGTCATAGTGCCACACTCTGAGTGATGTCACAGTGCCACACTCTGAGTGATGTCACAGTGCCACACTCTGAGTGATGTCACAGTGCCACACTCTGATGTCACAGTACCACACTCTGAGTGATGTCACAGTGCCACACTCTGAGTGATGTCATAGTGCCACACTCTGCCTGCAGTACACCGCCAGTCTTTTCCTCTAAGCTGGTGCCACACTCTGCTAAATCGTTGGAGTCTCTGGATAATCTGATTTTCCTTTCTGAAACCTTGACACTAAGAAGTCTGCACTGATCCACATTCCACCTGCAGTGCCTGAGTCCCATCCTGCGCTCACCTGTCCATATTTGCTGTTTTTTATAATAGTGATTTTGAATTAGGTATCAGTAATAGGAAACAAAGAAATCAAATTACTTGCTTCAAAATGGCATAATATATAGATTTAAAAAAACAGCTTCTTCAAACGCTACCAAAAGACACAGATAAGGGAATTCAACAAAACTGAAGGATATAAAATCCTTCATAATCCAACATAGAAGCCAGCCGTATTATACACACTAGTAATGAACTTACTCAAAAGACATGAGTCGATGCTGTTAGCACGCTATAAACAAGAGCAGCAGCATTGAAGCTGAAGAAGACAAGATAAATGCCTTGGGATAAGTCAGGTGTGGAAGTGCAAGCCCATAGCCCCAGCCACTCAGGATGCTGAGGCAGCAAGATTGATCACACCTGGGGATTCAAGGTCAGCAGCAAACCAACCAACCAACCCAAAATGCCTAGAAATAAATTTAAGCAAAGAAGTAACAAGTCCTATAATCAAAATTACAAAACACTGACAAAAAATCCTGAAGATCCTATGTGTACATACAAGGGAAAGACCATGTATGCTTGTGGACTATGAGAATTAGTATATTTAGAATGTCTATACTACCCTAAGTAGCTTATAGAGTCCATGAGATTTCCACTCAAATACCAATGGCATTCTCATAGAAATAGGAAAAATAAGTTCTACGTTTACTAAATGCTTAGCGATTACTGACCAAATGACTAATACATTTGCTTCTGTTAAGACTCATTAGACATATGCATTATTAGAAATAACCAGCACACCGTACCCAGCAGATAATCGTTTAATGTTGTAAGTGGCTGAACATGAATGCATTTGAGGAACGAGTGGGGTAATGAGCAATCCTTGTGCTCTGAGCCCCTGCTGCAGAGCTTGCTCTCATCGAGGCTGCTCAAGGAAGGGCCGTGGGACTGGGACTCCCATTCTGTAAAGTACCACCCCCGCCCTCAGCACACACACATGCACACACACTCAGCTCTGAAAGAGGAGCAGGCCCACGACAGAAGCTCTGCAGTTGAACACCATCGAAAACAGCAGGCACTGTCCAAGCCCTGGGCGACCTTTGAAGCTTGACTTCTAGGATTTTCTCAGCATCAAAATTCAAGTATGCAAATAACAGGCAGGAAACACGCCCAACTTGAGAATGACTCACTGACGTTAGCTACCAGGGAGGCCGGGGAGCAAAATGCAGGCCAAGATCCAACAAAGATAACACCTCAGCAATAAGTGACGGGAGACAATAATCAACCATTTATTTTGTTCCAAAGATAAAGCTTAGCATACTTATTGTGTGATTAAAAAGCTCGTGTGTCATGGATTGTTTCTCAAGGAATACAACAAAATGGTTATTTGTTCTAGGAAAACACAACACAAAATGACCAAAAAATTTTCTTGTTTTAAAATAACAAAATTTCCAAGCCAAAAAAACAAACAAAAAAAAAATCCACATTTTAAACAGTAAAGAGATAACAAGTTCCTAGAATCTTCTAACACTAATTTCTCCACCAAATAGAAATTTCTAGGTCAATATTTCTTATCAGTTATGATGGGGGTAAGGTTCCTCTGGATGCATTTTCCCCCTGAAGAGGTTGATTTTTAATTGGACACCATTGATCACTGACTGCCCCAGAATCTCCCCTAAGCACCTTCTTCTTTTTCTGACCCAGGGACATGTAACATTCTTCCCTGTTTACCTGTTCTCCCTAGCCTGAGACCCAGGGTCCATTCCTCCCCTCCTCACTCCCTACTGCTGTCTAATAACCCCAGCTTACCTTTGGAAATGGGGCTCCCACAGCCTAAGTCAGCATAGTCTGTCTCTACCTGAAACTTGCCCCATTTCTCAGACACTGTAGGGACCCCCTTGGCTCTGGCCAATTTATTGCCATCCATGTGGCTCATAGAAGAACTGATGACTCTTGTAGTCACTGAAAATCTTAGAATCACTCAAACCTTTCATCGTATAAAGTTATATAGAGCACTGTTCCGTACTGGATCATACTACGGTTTCTCAACCATTTAAAACTCTGTTTTTATCTGGAAAATCAGATATATTTATATGGAAATAGATACTGAGGTGTTGAGCACCCTGTCTTAGCCACAGAATCTGCAGCTTGAATGGAATGTAGCAACTCCCAAAGCTTGTGTGCTTGTGGACAATGCCAGGATTCAATCCCCATTTCTGTTGACCCATTCCACACAACCCATATCCCAAGACTGCTTAATGTCATCAAAAAAGTAGTGTGTCCCTTTAGGGCAGAGGTAGCTTTCGCTGTTGACATCACAGAACCTGGAGTCACTCAAAAGGGAAGCCTCTGGGTCTGACTTGGGGGGATTATCTAGGCTAATTGAGATGAGAGGACTCACCTCATTCCTCTTGAGGAGGTTGAGGGGTCCTTCCAGAGGACCAGATTCCCAGCACCCACAACCATCTGTAACTTCAGTCCCGGGGATCTGAGGCCTTTTTCTGAGCACCAGTCATGAAAGTGGTGTACAGCCATACATGTAGGCAAAACCCATACATTAAAAATAAATAAATATTAAAAATGTTTTTTAAAAACTGAGCTGAGCACAAGGAGCCATCACTTGTGACTTCCAGACTTCAGGCTCAGTGTGGCCCACTGGCTTCTTCTTCCTGCCACCATGCCACTCCCATCAGGATGGAATTTATTCCCTGCCCCCCAGAAGGCAAAACAAATCTTTTCTTCTTTACCATGTTTTGTCACAGTGAGGTAGAGATTAATTGTGTCGCTGTCCCAAAGCTGTCATCACAACATCCTAGCAACTTGAGGAAAGATAGATTGATTTCAGCTCACAGTTTGAGGTTACAGTCCCTTACGGTGGGGAAGGCACAGGGCAGGAACAGTGACTGGACACATTGTATCAGTGACTGAACACATTGTCTCAGTGATTGGACACATTGTATCAGTGACTAGACTATCAGGGGCTGAACACATTGTATCAGTGACTGGACACATTGTATCAGTGGCTGAAAACAATGAGTCAGTGACTGGACACATAGTATCAGTGACTGAACACATTGTATTGGTGACTGGATACATTGTATCAGTGACTGGCCATACCAGTGACTGAACACATTGTATCAGTGACTGGAAACATTGTATCCACCGTCAGAAGGTAGTGAGCCATGTCTACTAGTGCCCACCTAGCTCTCTTTTTATTTAGCCCAGGATCTGAGCCTAGAGAATGGTGCCACCCACATTTAGGGTGGGCATTCCCATGTTAGTTAATGCAATCTAGAAACTCCCTCATAGATGTCTAGAGATTTGTTGAGGTGAATCTAAATCCCATCAAGTTGAAAATCAGTATGGATGATCGCAGATCTGTTTCCAGACTGTAGTCTGTTCTAGTGAAATGTCTGTTCACACAGGTGT